GACCGAACCATTGAGCGACGCCACAAAATGCCATCAGTTATAACTGTGGGACTGAGTTAGCGTCCATATATGGCAGTAACAGTCCCAGGCTGCTCGTTAGCTCATCATTTTAAAGGTCCGATCTTTAACAGAACCTCCCCTGAAGTCTTTAGGCTGCAGCGGTTCTGCTTTTCTCCGTTTGAAATGCTGCTGAATCTGCTGGAACCTGATTCTGGTGACTCACGGCTTGACGAGGAGGCGCCAGCGGCAACGCTTCTAAAATAAACAGACAGCTCAGCATCCTGTCAGTCATCTGCAGCGCTCAACTTTCTGCCATTAAGGTGAAAACTTGTTGCAGGAGCTGAGATTTCATCCAGTAATAGAAGCTGATTCCATGTCTGTTGGCGCGTTCAGCCTCAGTAGCTTGAAGAACGGTCAAAAAGCCGATGTCACTGCAGCAGGTCAGTGAGGAGGTCCAACGGTGCATCAGATGCACCAGGTTCAAACTTAGTTCACGTTTACGTCCCACAGATGCAATCAATGTGGATTCAGTAGGAATCAGGTTCGGTTGTGCTCAGGTTTCCAACATGGCGTCTGTCCAGGAAACACGCTGCAGGGAGCAGGAAAAGGAGGAAGATCCTTCAGCTCCAGCATCCTTTCCTCCGTTTCTCCTTCCTGTTCAGGTTCTGGATCTTCAGTCTCTCCATGTTTCCTCTCTGCACCGTTTGGTCTTTAGATTCTCTTCTACTCTCATTCTGCTGAAACCGTTTCTGGCTCCAGGTTGGGTTCAGACCAGCGACTGCAGGAACCAGACTGGTGTTCCAGATTAGCACCGTCTCTGGGTCCGTGTCCAATTATATCTTTTCTAATTAGATTTTGAGTTAAACCATTTTACCCGACATGTGGCTTCTTTGCATCAGATTATTTCATGATGATTTCTTTTCGGGTTTTTTTAATCCAGCGTGTCTTCCAGGCTAAGCTGTCTTATTATCTTGCTGCTCAGGCAGTAAAACCAACTGTTGAATGATCTAAATGCCATCAGCGCGCCTCCAGCTCCACTTCACTGCGTTCTCCTTCCAGCTGTGCAAACAGCAGCTCATCAGCAGCTCGTCTGAGATTCTCCTGTGGATTCAAGTTCCTCCATGTTTGTTCTGCTTGTGGCGAGTAAAGCCATGAAAATGTTCCTGATCCTGATGAATCATTGCTCTGATGATCTGTTTGTTTAACAGCAGCAGCTCCCAGTTCTGACCCCGCCCCCCCGGCCCTTTAATGTGTTTAAACTTCTGATTCAACATCTGTTATTAAAGCGGCTGTAAATCCCTCTATAAACGTCTCCCAGTGGAGATCAATTCGGAGCCATCAGATCTTCATTTCTTGCTACGCTTGTCAGTCAGGAACTATTGGATTGTTCCTGGAAGGAAATAACCTGATCTGGACGAGACGCGCTGCATTAAGGAAGAAGAAGAAGACCTTGAATGTGTCTGAATATGATGTCAAGAAATTGTTGATGATTTGAACGAAGTAATTCCCTAAAGTGCTTTGAAAGTTTATTAGTCCAACTATCTTGGATGGTGGATGGTGGGTTTCTGCAGAACGACACCAAGATGATCTTTGGACGTTTTCCTTCAGAGGTTAATAATAATAATGAACTTTATGGATCTCACACTGGAGGATTTCCCTCTCTGCATTTAACCCCTCCCCTTGGGGAGCAGTGGGCTGTTGTTGTGCGGCCCCCGGGGAGCAGCGTGGGGTTAAGGGTCTTGCTCAGGGACCCAGAGTGGAGGATGTGGGGGGGAGCGTTAGAGCAGAACTTATGGTTCCATCATCATTGATGACAATGGGTGAACTCTTTTAGTTCTCAGGCTCCTCTCCTGTGGAACCAACTACCAGTTTTAGTCCGTGAGGCAGACACCCTGTCTACTTTAAGGCTAGGCTTAAAACTTTCCTTTTTGATAAAGCTTCTAGTTAGAGTGGCTCAGGTTATCCTGATCTATCTCTATAGTTCTGCTGCTATAGGCTTAGACTGCTGGAGGACATAGGGACCCCTTTTTCATCATTCTGCTTCATTCTATCTCTGTTCTCCCACTCTGCAGAATCTGTTAGTTCAATCTCTAACGTTCTGCTCTCTCTGCTTTTTCTCATAGTAGCTTCATCTGGTCTGTTCCTGTTTGGCTGTGACTCCATCCTGGAGAGAAATATCAGCTGTGCTGAGAGGACATGATGTGAATTAGAACTATAGAAATAAACTGAATAGAATCATCAGTGTTTCTGTGAAATGCTGAGCAAATGAGTCAGATTGATGCCTGATGTTTCATCAGGTTGCTTCAGCCAAGCAAAACGTCTCCCATGGTCTGTGGAGTGATGAAGGTGTTTGATGACTGAATGAAATACGCCTGTAAACTGATGGTTAGCAGGGGTTTAGTTTTTCTCTGGTTCCCACCAGAAGCGTTTAAGATGCTGTTCGTTTGGGACCTTTGGGAGTTTCCAATCCAGAAATATTTGGAAGCTCTTCACTCCTGGGAAGCGTCATGCTTCATGGGAACAGGAAGTGAGGGATTGACTGAACTGGTGGGTTGATGCTGCTGAGATGAAGCAGAGCTGGGATGAAAGGCAAAGCTCTACGTTCTTACGGTTCAACTACAGCTATGACATCTGGATCATCATCCAAAGAGTGAGCGCTGGAGAGCATCTGGACCTGCAGGGAGATACTTGGATTAAGCTGCTCCTCTGCCTCCAAGAGGCTCAGACTGCAGATAATAGCTGGAAAAAGCATTTAGGAGTGAAGTCATCCAGAGAGGGCAGCAGCCAGGAGATAACAGCCCAAACAGGAAATGACCCGTCCAGGACAACATGGCGGGAACAGTCACATGATCAGAGGGGTGGAAGAAAAGCAAAGGGCCTGAATTTAAAAATCCGTCTCCAGCTGAGAGTCTTTGAGATGCTGATCTGATGGAGTCTTTGTGAAACATAAGGACCGATTGGCTCTCAGTGCCTCTGCTTTGATCAGAACTCTGCAGCGTTCACTCTTTCAAAATGGCCGTCTGTCCTGGAGGGTTTTATTTTTGAAAGGATTCTTTGTTTTTTTCTGGTGAGGAAGAGGAGGATTTGTCTTCAGGTACCATTGATATCAGCTTCATCAGCAGAATACTGCGTCCTACCAAGCCCCATTTCCACCACCCATTAGAAACCCTACGGTAACCATGGTAACTGCTGAGCATAAATGGCGTGCAGACCCAACCGGACCGCGCTAACATGGTAGTAGTCCATCAGTAGGCCTCGGTGCGGTTCAGTTCTGGCCCGGTTCCCAGATAACATGAGCAGACAGCATCATCTCCTCACAGTCAGCCTCCGTAATCATTCCTAAAATCCCAGCTTTCCACCGCGCCGCACGATTTTCAGTGATGATTCTGCTCAGAAATGCGATGAACCTCAACGTCTGTCGTTGTTTCCTGCGTCTGGAAGCACTGATCAGACGATTGTTTGTTGTATCCACTTCCCAAAAACCGACTCTGTCAATGAAATTCACCGAAGGCTGCCTTCTTCGCCTGATTCTCAGCAAACTTCCGCCATGTTGGTTTGCTTGTTTCCCTCTAGAAGGCAGCAGTACCATAGATCGCCATTAGGAGGCGAGGAACCGTGCTAACCGTGCTAGCATGATGTGTTAACGGCCGTAAGGAACCGAGCTCGGCACGGTTAACTGATCCAAGCTCAGTCTGAACTCGGCACGGATCGGATTCAGAGGGGAACGGAAACGGGACGATAAACACCCTTCAGTGCAGAAGTTAAGCTGAAGGGAAGGGATCCGGAGGGTCCAGGTTCTGCTGAGTGTCCTGGATTGTTCAGGAAGGAGATCAGAGGTTTCTTGCTGCTCCAGGTGCAGAAAGCGCCGCTGCGCCTCCACCGTGTTTGTCCTTCCAGACGGGGAATGTCTCCTGGCTGAGCGAAGGCCTCTGGGCTCTCAGGACAGCAGGGCTGCTTTTAAGGCAGCTGCATCTGTCTGATGGATATCAGCCTCTCCATCGCATCCATTATCATGTCCTGATGTACAGAAAGCTCTCAGAGGAAGGGAAGAGGAGCAGACTGCTCTTTCGTTTTTACTGTTTCACTAGAAACCAGAAACCAGAATCACTCTTAAACTTTTCCTAAAAACAAGCTTTATTTTCTTTATGGATCATCTAGTTAAACTAAAGATATTTAGTTTCTCATTGTTACCAACCTGTCTGTTCGGCAGAAGGTTGAGGGCCGAGGGCCAGGAAGACGCAGGGACCTGGGGAGGGAGGTCATTGGTCAGAGGGTGGACCATAAATCCACATCAACGTATCGCAGTTTTCCTTCTATATATGAATATCTATCATTTTAATACAGGCTGTTTCTACAGGATTGATTCTCCTGCTTTTATTCATCTTTTTGAGTTTTGTTTTTATCATGAAAATTTCTTAGATGCATCTTGGATTTATTAACATGATTCTCATAAGTTTGTACAGGTTGTTTATATAGAAACGATATCGAGCAAAATGAAGACATGATCAAATTTTTGTCCGTTTCTGATCATATTAAATATTTATAGTTTGTTCCTGAATGTTTGTGGGTCATGTGGAGTCAGGAAGCTGAGGCAGAGACATTCCTGCAAGAAATAAGGTTCAGATTTATTTAACGTCCTCAGACGGAGCGATAGAGCTCTGACTGCAGCGTTATAGAACATACATTTATACCCAACTTTCTGATCTCTCATTAACCTTCGTTTGCAGCCTGGGAGGCTAAGAACAGACAAACCTCCACATTGTTTACTCCACAGTCTGCAGCCAGATATGGTGGTCTCAATGTCAGAATGAGCAGCTTTCTGATTGGTTGGGGACGGGGCTCGGTGTCTCCTGGTTCTTCCTTTGGTAAAATGGTTCGTTAACCATCTTCTCTCCAGTCCTCAGTCTGGTTTAATGTGCAGATCTATTATAGAACAGAAGGAGCCATCTGAAGACCACCTAGATGTTCTCCTGACTCATCGTCTGCTTCTGTGTTTGCAGGGCTGAGTGCTGCCAAGCTGCTAAAGGCCAGCGGGCTGAATCCTGTGGTTCTGGAGGCCAGGGATCGAGTCGGTGGTCGCACCTTCACTGTGCGGGTAAGACCAGCTGCTCAGGACCAATACGGAACTTTGATGATGCTAAACCAGGTTTCTGCAGATGCTCGTCTCCAGGCTTTACAATATGTTCTTCTCAGCTATAAAGGAGGATGCAGATATTTCTGGACACAGTCTGGGGGGGAAGGTTTGCGCCTCATCGGTCCTTCCTAAGTCCAGCTTCCTCCTCAGAAACAAAAACAACTAATGATTGAACCTAAGAAAACTAGAACTAAAGCTGCAACTAAACGTCTCCCAGGATATTATTTCAGACCATAAGAACGTGTTTAGCTGTCTGACAGCCATGTGGTTAAAGTTTAACATTCAGTTCTCCAGCAGACGGAAGCTGAACTTGATCATTTTACCTGCAGTGAGACGGAAAACGCTCTGCAGCCGCCGTCACTTTGGAAAGCCATGATTTAAAGTCATTCAGGTCATTATTTTATCATTTGGTCGTTCTTAACAGGTTAACTCTAAAAATCAACATTCCTCTCCTGGTCTGATGCCTCACAGTTTAAATATGTTACTGGCAGCATGGGGGCCGACCAAAAGCACCCCTGGGGGCCAGTCGCTGAGAAGCTCCGCCTCCTCGCTTACTTCAACGTGTTCCTGGTGCAGCAGGCGCCATGATTGGCTGTTTTCCCTTCATTCTAGATCATTCTAACCTCAGTGGTTTTCTTTCCGTTTCCAGAACAAGGAGACCAAGTGGGTGGATCTGGGCGGGGCCTATGTCGGGCCCACCCAGAACCGGATCCTGCGCCTGGCTAAGGAGTACGGCATTAAGACCTACAAGGTCAACGAGCAGGAGCACCTTGTCCATTACGTCAATGTGAGTTTCCAGCTTCATTCAGTTTCCCTCCAGAAGCTTCTGCAGGAACGGTAGCCAGAGGCGGCTAAGCTAACCGCACCTGCAGCAGCTCTGCTGCGTCTGACGAACTGATCATAACATCTAATTAACTGCTGGAAATGAGGAAATCAGTCCAAAGTCTAAAGTTATGTTCAAGGTATTTTAAAGATGAAACAAATAATTTAATTGGAAAAATAACAAGAAACATTTTCCACAGAATTTGTCTTTATATCATAAATCATATGAAACCAGTCGGGCTGAATGGTTTTGCCAGTATTGTGATTTTTATGTGTATTTAATCCTTTGCAATGATCCTGAACATGCAGATGTTTTATTCCAGATGTTCTGTTTCTTTCTTCCCTTCAAAGTTTGTTAACCTGGAATCCGCTGTTTCAGGATTTTACTGTCAGCTTTGTTTGGTTACTGCTCACTTCTACTGCATAGATCTGCACGAAGCAGGAAGTTTATTTCCTTTTTCAGGGAAGCAAACCCACCTTCAACATAATAAATATTAAATATAACTATTAAAGAGCTGGAGGGAAAAACAAAATGTCTGAGATTCTGTGAAATGTAACTTGACCAGCCTGAAGCTCCATCCATAATATTTCTATTCACTCTATATTCAGTCGACCTGCAGACATGATGAAGGTTAAAGTCAGCTCTTCTACAAACATCATTTTCTCTGCGTCTGCAGCGTTTCTGGGTTGTTGTTTAGTGAAGTTCTTCATGATGGAGGAAGCAGCCAAACGTTTTATATCTGTATGTTAATCCAGTCAAAGTAAAAACAATGTTTTTGTCAGAAAGGTGCTGCAGGAAGTAACTTCCCTCTGCGGACGGCGGCTCGCCTCCCAGACACGTTTCCCTTTAACTTCCTGTTTCTGCGGATGTTTCCATAAGAAGCCGATCAACTACAGTAATCTAGATGTGCTAATATGATGTAAAAAAGGAACAATCGCAGCGTGACGTATGAATGTTTGAGAGCATGTCTGTCATCATGGAGGATCAGTTTTATTATTGCTGTGATTCTGACGGAGAGGTTGCTGCTAAACAGTCAGACTGTTTCCTTCAAACTGAGACAAAATGATCAGAGTTGACTTTTAAATAGCATCTTCTGTTAGCAGTTAGCACTGTTAGCTTGGGTTAACTTTATACCGCCTGAATCCTCTCCTGACACGTCCAAAGGTCAAACAGAGCAGCTGTGCTGTATTAGGCTCAGCCTTCCCGTTATCTGCTGAAAGTGTGGCTCTCTCCCAGCCATATTTCCCTCAGTCTGGCTGACAGACGAACCAGCAGGAGAAAATGGAAAGCAAACCTGATTTTCTGTCAGGCAGCCTTCCTGTGCTCTGCGCCAGAGGAAGAGCTAATCTCCGCCTGGGGGGCCTCTGTAATGCAGTTTCTTTATTCTCTAAGTAACAGAGAGGCAGGGAGGGAGATGGACCAAACCTTTTCTCTGCTCCGTATCTCCTCTGAGTGGCTGAACAGCTTTCCTCTGCTCCCTGATTGGATTAGCCTTCGCTCTCTCACACTCTGATACCTGGATGGTGGAGCAGCTCTCTGAGGGACGGGGCAGGAGACATCTGGACTCTGGGTGTGGTTCAGTCCCAGCTCCAGAGGTGGACTTTGTCCTGAAGGTGAGGACATGAGAACAGACACACATGCTAGCAGGGTTGCTCTTCAGTTAAAGTTGCTTTGATGGGAACATTTCAGGCAGAGCTGCTCTGCGTCACCGTCTGAGCAAACAGACGATCGACCTGCAGCAAACTGTTCGATCCGATCTCTGTAGCAGAAACGCCGCTGATTCTACATCTGCTTTAAACCTAGAAAAATAAGACAACCTTCCCCCTGAATGCATCCACGTCTCATTAAACTGGCCACACTGGGTTAACACCAGGACAACCAGTGTGTCTGCTGGGAGTCGGTAGTCGGGGGGGATTCGCACACAAGCAAATCCTGATGAGGACTAGAGAACCATTCTGACCCTGATTGAGTGAGTCTGCTTCCAAATAGACGCTGGTTCTGGTTGGTTCTGGTTGGTTCTGGTCGGTTCTGGTTGGTTCTGGTCGGTTCTGGTTGGTTCTGGTCGGTTCTGGTCGGTTCTGGTCCTCAATCTGACCCGTCTGCATAAAACTTTCACCCTATGGGCCTAAAACCCCCTGATCTGCTGCCTTCAAGCTGCGGCTCTCCAGCAGTCTGCTCCATAATCAGACATGTTGGAAGCTTCACTGAATTAGCTGCTGTTCATCCTCACAATGACTCTGCAGCTGTTACAGCTGCAGAGTCCCCTCCTCTCCACACTGTTGACTCTCTGATGTTTCCATGAAGACCGATGCTCTCATGTTCTACTGACCTACTTCTTCAGCGTTCTGCAGCGTCTCCAGCATGGCGGCCGTCAGAGAACCCGCTGTGCCGGCGTGGAGCGTCACGTGCCCCCGTGTCTCCTTGGCTACTATCTCTACAACATGGAAGATCAGCGTATCCCTAGCAGGCTTCCTGCCTGGTTTCCACGGCAACCTTCCTCATCAAAAGCTGCCCAACAAGCCTCTGCTTTGAGGTGGTTTCTGTCTCTGTGCTTTTCTGCCTCTGAGGATGCAGATGTGCAGCGCCGTGGTTTTCCCAAAGTGACACTGGGAGAATCCCAGCTCCGGAAAAAGCCGGATTTGGCTCCTTGTGGTGAACTTTGAGGCCAGACACCAAACAAACAGCCGTAGGAAAATGTCCGACATGTTCCAGCCGCTTTCATTTGCTGCTGGGTTTAGAAAAGACAAATATTTCATTGGACTTTTCCTCATCCTGGTTTTGATTTCTAAAAAGAGGGAAACATTTGCAGCCTTCCTTCAGTCAGCTGATCCACACGCTGCTCAGAAACCTGCTGCTGGTAAAGCTTTCAATGGAGACCAGTGGATTTATTCCTTTCTTCTTTTGGTAAAATGTGCAGCAGAACACAGGCAAGGAAAATAATAAGAATTAAATCTACAATAAAAGAAGAGGTAATGTTCAGCAGTATTGTAGAAACAAAGACAAATTTATAAATCGGTCTATACATTTATTTATAGATTTCAGAGAGAGATTTATTCTGTAAATCATTTCAAAACTCACACGGAAAAAGACAATCAGAAGAATTTTATTTATACAATTATTTTAAGACTTTGGCGCTCAGATCCCGGCAGGAAACATTAGCACTGAATTTTACTTTAAACTGCATAAGCAGGTATGTGAGAACAGGGCGGTGGAGGTGGGGGTGGGTTGAATCGGGGGTGGAGGGGGTTGCCGGGGGGGGTGGGTTTTGGAATTCCCTTGGAGAGGGAGGTTTAATGCCTGGGGATTTAGGTGGGGAGGGTGGTTTTTTTGTTAGGAGGATGGAGGGGGTTTTTAAAGTGTGGGAGAACCCCCGGAAAAAGGTTTTGGCCCCGGTGGTGTGGAGGAGGGTTGAATTCCGTGGGTTTTTGGGGGTGGTTTTAAGGGGGTTTTTTGGATTTTTTTAAAGGGGTTTGGGGTTTGGGTATGATCGGGGGTGGGGGGGGTTTTTTTTTGGAAAATGGGGAAAGGAAGGTTGGTTTTAAATGGGGGTAGGGGGTTTGGGTTTTGGATTTTTAATGGGTTGGGGGAGATTTTTTGAAAATCCTGGAAAAGTGGGTTTTTTAAATAAAATCGGGGATGGAGGTTGGGTTTAATGTGGGGGTGTGAATGGGGGTGGGGGGGGTGGGTTGAATGGGGGGTGGAGGTGGGGGGAGGTGGGTTTGAATCGGGGGTGGAGGTGGGTTGAATGGGGGTGTAGGGGGGGGTTTGAAAGGGGGTAGGGGGGGTTGAATCGGGGTTGGTGGGTTGAATCGGGGGTGGAGGTGGGGTGGAGGTGGGTTTAAAATGGGGTGGAGGTGGGTTGAATGGGGTGGTGGGTTGAATCGGGGGTGGGGGGGTTTTGAATGGGGGGGTTTGGAAGGTGGGGGGGGAGGTGGTTGAATCGGGTGTGGGGGGTTGAATTGGGGGGGGAGGTGGTTGAATCGGGGTGTGGGGGTGGGTTGAATGGGGGTGTAGGTGGGTTGAATGGGGGTGGAGGTGGGTTTGAATGGGGGTGGGTGGGTTGAATCGGGGTGGAGGGGGGTTTTAAAATGGGGGTGGAGGTGGGTAAATGGTTGAATGGGGGGTGGAGGTGGTTTGAATGGGGGTGGGTGGGTTGAATCGGGGGTGGAGGTGGGTTGAATGGGGGTGGGGTGGGGGTTGGAGGTGGGTTGAATGGGGGTAGGTGGAATGGGGTGGAGGCGGTGGCGGTTCGGTTGAAATCGGTGGGTGGGGATTGATCGGGGTGGAGGGGGTCTGAGTTTCGAATGGGGGTGAGGTGCAACTAAGCCTCTGGCGTTGAGGTGGTTTTGATCTCGTGCGGTCGTGAGGATGAGTGGCAGCGCCGTGGTTGTTCAATCTGGGAGAATCCGTGGAAAGCGGATGGCTCCTTGTGGTGAATCTTGAGGCAGACACAACAAACAGCGTAGGAAAATGTCGAATGTTCCAGCCGCTTTCATTTGCTGATGGGTTAGAAAAGACAATATTCATTGGATTTTCTCATCCGGTTTTGATTTCTAAAAAAGGGGAAGACATTTGCAGCCTTGCGTTCAGTCAGGATCACGGTCAGAAACTGCGTGGTAGTTCAGGAGACGTGGATTTATCTCTTTGGTTGTGAGCGAACACAGGCAGGAATTAAGAGTTAAATCTGACATAAACGAGAGGTGTCAGCGATGTAGAAACAAGCTTTTAAATCGGGGTTTACATTGATTTTGATTTAGGAGGATGGTATCTGTAAATCATTCAAGTCAAGGAAAGGCATAGAGAATTTTAATACGTTTTTAGGTGTGCGCTAATCCGGCAGGAAACATTAGATGATTTTAATGATGAGGTAGTGTGAATCGGGGTGGTGGGTGGTGAATCGGGGGTGGAGGTGGGGGTGGAGGTGGAATGGGGGTGGAGGTGGTTGAATCGGGGGTGGAGGTGGG